TATGGAGGAGGTGGGCTTGAGGATCACATAGCACTTTAAACAACTTTTGAGAGGAACGAGAAGAGGAAATGGCTAGTGTTTATGGGGTATTTACCATGTCCTCAGCCAAACTCTTAATTGCTTTAAATTTATTAACTCTCTTTAAAAAAAAATTGTTTATTACCCTCGGCTGTGCTGGGTCTTGGTTGCTGCACACCGGACTTGCTTTGGCTGCAGAGACAGGGGGCTACTCTTTGTTGCGGTGAGTGGGCTTCCCGCGGCACTGCTCCTCTAGTCGTGAGCATGGGCTTCAGGCAGGTGGGCGTCAGTAGTTGCAGGGCATGGGCTCAGTAGTCGTGGCTTGTGGGCTTGGCCGCCTCGCGACATGTGGGGTCGTCCCAGACCAGGGATCGAACTTATGTCCCCTACGCTGGCAGGTGGATTGCTCACCATTGAACACCAGGGATGTCCAGTTTGTTAACTCTCTTAATCCTCACAGTAATTCTCCAAGGCAGATACAGTAATCACCCACCCTTCTCTTACAGAAGAGGGAAGAGGTGCAGAGCATTTTGCATACCTGGACAGGTACATTATAGAGGAGACTTGAGTGGACTCAGCAGACTATCCTTCTGTGGAATCGTGTATAGACGAAGCACTAGCATTTACTTTATTCATTCAGTAAATGCTCATTGCCTTAGGAAGCACCACTATGAACAAAGCTAGTGGAGGTGATGGAATTCCAGTTGAGCTATTTCAAATCCTAAAAGATGATGCTGTGAATGTGCTGCACTCAATATGCCAGCAGATCTGGAAAATTCAGCAGTGGTCACAGGACTGGAAAAGGTCAGTTTTCATTCCAATCCCAAAGAAAGGCAATGCCAAAGAATATTCAAACTACTGCACAATTGCACTCATCTAACACACTAGCAAAGTAATGCTCAAAATTCCCCGAGCCAGGCTTCAACAGTGTGTGAACTGTGAATTGTCAGATGTTCAAGCTGGATTTAGAAAAGGCAGAAGAACCAGAGATCAAATTGACAACATCCACTGGATCATCGAAAAAGCAAGAGAGTTCCAGAAAAATAGCTACTTCTGCTTTATTGACTATGCCAAAGCCTTTGACTGTGTGGATCACAACAAACTGTGGAAAATTCTTCGAGAGATGGGAATACCAGACCACCTGACCTGGCTCCTGAGAAATCTGTATGCAGGTCAAGAAGAAACAAGTTAGAACTGGACATGGAGCAACAGACTGGTTCCAAATTGGGAAAGGAATATGTCAAGGCTGTATATTGTCACTCTGCTTATTTAACATATGCAGAGTACATCATGCAAAATGCCAGGCTGGATGAAGCACAAGCTGGAATCAAGATTGCCAGGAGAAATATCAATAATCTCAGATATGCAATTGATAGCACCCTTATGGTAGAAAGTGAAGAAGAACTAAAGAGCCTCTTGATGAAAGTGAAAGAGGAGAGAGAAAAAGTTGGCTTGAAATTCAACATTCAGAAAACTAAGATCATGTCATCTGATCCCATCACTTCATGGCAAATAGATGGGGAAACAATGAAAACAGTGAGAGACTTTATTTTTTTGGGCTCCAAGATCACTGCAGATGGTGACTGCAGCCATGAAATTAAAAGACACTTGCTCCTTGGAAGGAAAGCTATGAGCAACCTAGACAGCATACTAAAAACCAGAGACATTACTTTGCCAACAAAGGTCTGTCTAGTCAAAGCTATGGTTTTTCAAGTAGTCATGTATGGATGAGAGAGTTGGACTATAAAGAAAGCTGAGCACTAAAGAACTGATGCTTTTGAACTGTGGTGTTGGAGAAGATTCTTGAGAGTACCTTGGACTGCAAGGAGATCCAACCAGTCCATCCTAAAGGAAATCAGTCCTGAATATTCATTGGAAGGACTGAAGCTGACACTGAAATTACAATACTTTTGCTACCTGATGGGAAGAGCTGACTCATTCGAAAAGACCCTGATGCTGGGAAAGATTGAAGGCAGGAGGAGAAGGGGATGACAGAGGATGAGACGGTTGGATGGCATCACCGACTCGATGGACATGAGTCTGAGTAAGCTCCAGGTGATAGTAAAGGACAGGGAAGCCTGGCATGCTGCAGTCCATGGGGTCACAGACTTAGTCACATAACTGAGTGACTGAACTGAACTGACTGAAATGCTTATTGAATACTCTGTATGCGCCAAGCACTTGTTTGGGTCATGAAGGATGTGCTGACAAAACAGTAAAGATACTTATGTTCAGGTTTTAATGATGGGAGATTGACAAGAAACAAAATAGAAAATACACTGTATAGATTGTAGTTGGCGACGGGTGGCACAGAAGAAGGAAAACATAGAACAGGTGAAGGGGCTGGAGGTGGGATGTGAACACAAGTTGAGAACTCACTTGGGATGGGAACGGGTTAGCCTTGTAGACATCAGATAGAAGGGCATCCAAGTGTCTCAGGCATGACTGTGACCACAATTATGAAAGTGTTATTTGTTCAGTCATGTCTGACTCTTTCGCAACCCCATGGACTGTAATCCACCAGACTCCTCTGTCCATGGAATTCTCCAGACAAGAATACTGGAGTGGGTTGCCATTTCCTTCTCCAGGGGATCTTCCCAATGCAGGGATCGAATCCGGGTTCTCCTGCATTGCAGGCAGATTATTTATTGTCTCAGCCACCAGGGAAGCCACCGTCATATCCTTCTTATAAGTCACAGTATCACAGTGGCTCCTTTTCTGTGTGAGAGTGAATGCAGGCGCAGGTCACAGCTGGTGTCCACTCCTGCCTGAGCCCCACGGAGTCAGTTGCTTCCCACTCCGGAATCCACACTCCGCTTGTCTTCCTGACTTGCTGTTTTGTGGGTTTTAAGTTCTATGACCAATGCTGTGGGCCTCTGAGAACAGCTTTTAAAAACCCTCTTCTCTGTCATAGCCCACAAGCATCACCATTTAACCACAACCATCCTCATTTTCTCTCCCTCTCTAATGTGCAGTGCTCTGCTTATCATACGTGAGTATTCAGAAAAGTTTGTTGAAAGCAAACATACTAGTTTCAGACAGAGCATCTTTAGGCCTGTCAGTAAAATGCTGGAATATGTCAACAATATAACCCAACACTGATGGTGACAGGAAAGAATCCCATTTATTTCTGGTGACATTTTAAATTAGTAAGCTGGGGGCTTTTATTTGTGAGGCAGCAGTAGATTTCTGACCTTTCGACTCCTTGGGGCTGGGAGTGGCCTGGAGGTGGTCCTGGGACTTTATCAGGCGCCTGAGCCACCAGAGATATGGATGAGATGAGGGTGTCCCCTTGTAAACGCGCCGACACTGCACCAGGCTCTCCGGCTCCCTCGGGGACCTGTCTTGGCTTGGATGCCAGCGTTTCTCTGTTTTTTTTTAAACTTTTACTGGAGTGTAGTTGCTTTACAATGTCGTTTCTGCCGTCCAGCAAAGTGACTCAGCTCTCCGTATACGTATGTCCCCTCTTTTGTATATTTCCTCTGCGTTCAGGTCACCACGGAGCGCTGAGCAGAGTTCCCTGTCTGCATAGCAGGTTCTCATCAGCTACCTGTCTTAGAGGTTTATCCGATCCCCACCTGTCCTCGGGGCTCTCAGGAGGGAGGAGGAAGAAGGCGCCGTGTCAGCTGCTCCGTGAGGCCTCGGACAAGCAGCCCCACCTCAAGTCTGTGGATGAATCCGGGGAGAAAGAGCGGAAAAAGGAATCTTTCTTTTTTTTTAAAGCTCCTGTATGAAAGTGTCAGTCGCTCAGTTGTGTCCGACTCTTTGTGACCCGACTTTCTGTAGCCCACCAGGCTCCTCTGTCCATGGGATTCTCCAGGCAAGGAGAATACTGGGGTGGGTTGCCCCTCCTCTAGGGGGTCTTCCCGACCCAGGGATCTAACCCAAGTATCCTGTATCTCCTGCATTGGCAGGCAGTTTCTTTACCACTTAGCTACCTATGGTGCTTAGTCACTCAGTTGTGTCCAACTTTTGAGAGTCCATGGACTGTATTCCGCCAGGGATTCAGGGATTCTGTCCGTGGGATTCTCCAGGCAAGAATACTGGAGTGGGTAGCCGTTCCCTTCTCCAGTGGATCTTCCCGACCCAGGGACGGAGGCCATGTTTCTGTCATCTCAGGCACATTCTTTACTGTCTGAGCTACCGGGGAAGCCCATGAAGTTCCTATGAAATCTTGACAAGAAAGAAGGGACAATTTAGGCCTCTTTCCTTCACCCTGATGGACACTTTGGAGGGAGGCCTCTGACCACTCGGGTCCCGAACGAAGACGCCTGGTGTAGAATGCTAAGCCCGCGAGGCTCCTGGCCATGGGTCTGGAGTATCCCTTAACGACTGTGTGCATGCTCCTTTCAGGTCTTGGGTTGTCACCGGGGACCGTTTCCAGCAGCCGTGAATGACACTGTAAAAGCCCTTGCAAAGTGGGCATAGACCACCCCCTGGACCATCATCTGCCCTTGGCTGGTTTGCTGGGAGCTTTGTCTGAGGTGTGGCCTGATCATGGTTGGTTTTTTTGTTTTTTTTCTTTACCCTTTTCTTGGGAAATCATCTGAACCTCGCTCAGCCTGGCTAGTCCCTCCTGGAAAAATCCCATTGCCTTTTCACCCTGGTTGAAAAGGCTGAGTCACCCCGTTTTCTAATCCTGTTTGCTGCTGTTCTCACATTGAAGCCTCCAAGAGACAGAATTATTTTCAAAAATAACACAGTGACATAGGATTTTTTTGGGGGGGAGGGCTAATATTTTCACTGATGACTATTTCAGTATTCCCATGAGGTAAAGATAAAGGGATTGAAGTGTGACAGGGTGATCTTTCAGGACACACATTCGTTGGGGCTACAGCTGGAGGCAGAACTTCTCTGCTCCCAGCCCCCCAACCAGGACTCCCGGGAGAGACCACAGAGGAGCCACATGCGTGTGTAGCCATGGCACCACGGCCTCCGCGTTTAGCGGCTCCTGATGGTGAGGTGTGTCCTGTCCATGTCAGGTAGGAGGGGCTGGAGCCCTAGAGGTGAGGCGGTGCCGTCCAGGTGGTCCCGTGGTGATGTGCAGATTCGTGATCCACATCAGTGTCTCCTGGCCAGAGCTGTTTTCCTGTGACCAGCTGTTTCCTTTGGCTGTTCAGGTAACGCCCTTGCAGAAGGGCCTGACTTTGGGGTCAGCTGGAGGTTGATCAGTGTCCTATACTCATCATCTCTGGGCCAGGACACGAGGCAGTGTCCTGGGCAGGGAGAGCAGCTCACACGAGAATAAGGGGCACTTTCTCTAATTGGTTTGTTGGTGGGATGTCTTGCGTGCCCCATCCACAAACCCGTCCATGTTCTGCAGTTGCTCACACACCTTGGGGTCAGCACTCTGGCTGTCCTATCTGCCCCACCTGTAACATGGGGCTAGGACAGGGCCAGAGCATGGAGGAAGCATTTCTCCAAACTTTATAACACTGCAGTCGCTGTGGGGAGGCGGAGGCTATTTTCGCTCAAAATACTGTTGTCTTCTTATGTCAGTGGGTAGAATTCAGTATGCAAATCTGAGATCATGTCCTTTTATAAAGAGGCTTCAGAACTCATTGAAAATGTCATCAGTTACCACCTTAGGGCTGACAAAAAGGGCCGTAATGTTTACTGAGCAGTTCAGGTATCAGGCAGCACGCCGTGGATTTTTCTGGTCCTGGTACTGGCTGTTTCTGGCAAACCTCAACTCAGGGCCTTCAATGATACCTGAAAAGTCCATAAAACTGCAGAGATCTATAAAACAGTCAGCTTCACAACGTCAGATCTCCCAACTTGCCGCGTGAATGTCAACTTCTCCGCGTTTATTGAGAAATAAAACTCAACCAGCAGGCAGGAGTGTGAACTCTGTGGGCCTGTGGAGTTCTGAGCTCCCCGTGGGATGTGGACTCTCTGGTTCCTGGAGTCCCCGGGAGAGGTCACCATGTATACTGGTCCTTCCTCTCAATCCAGGAGACACACACTGTGGAGCCCTTTGTTTGAGAGAGACACAGGCGTAAGCAGCAAGGGACCGATTCCATATCAAGAAAATCCAGGGGGCTCAGTGATGCACTTGGCACACACCTGCATGAGACTGTAAACCCAAGAAAGTGAAAGCGCTCAGTCGTGTCCAACTTTGTGACCCCATTGACTATACAGTACATGGCATTTTCCAGGCCAGAATATTGGAGTGGGTAGTCTTTCCCTCCTCCAGGGGATCTTCCCAACCTAGGAATCAAATCCAGGTCTCCCGCATTGCAGGGAGATTCTTTACTATCTGAGCCACTTCGGAAGCCCAAGAATACTGGAGTGGATAGCCTATCCCTTCTCCATCAGATCTTCTTTTTTTTTTTTCATTTATTTTTATTAGTTGGAGGCTAATTACTTTATATCATTGCAGTGGTTTTTGTCATACATTGAAATGAATTAGCCATGGATTTACATGTATTCCCCATCCCGGTCCCCCCTCCCACCTCCCTCTCCACCCGATCCCTCTGGGTCTTCCCAGTGCACCAGGCCCGAGCACTTGTCTCATGCATCCAACCTGGGCTGGTGATCTGTTTCACCCTAGATAATATACATATTTCGATGCTGTTCTCTTGAAACATCCCACCCTCGCCTTCTCCCAGAGTCCACAAGTCTGTTCTATACATCTGAGTCTCTTTTTCTGTTTTGCATATAGGGTTATTGTTACCATCTTTCTAAATTCCATATATATGTGTTAGTATACTGTAATGGTCTTTATCTTTCTGGCTTACTTCGCTCTGTATAATGGGCTCCAGTTTCATCCATCTCATTAGAACTGATTCAAATGAATTCTTTTTAATGGCTGAGTAATATTCCATGGTATATATGTACCACAGCTTCCTCATCCATTCGTCTGCTGATGGGCATCTAGGTTGCTTCCATGTCCTGGCTATTATAAACAGTGCTGCGATGAACATTGGGGTGCACGTGTCTCTTTCAGATCTGGTTTCCTCGGTGTGTATGCCCAGAAGTGGGATTGCTGGGTCATATGGCAGTTCTATTTCCAGCTTTTTAAGAAATCTCCACACTGTTTTCCATATTGACCCAGGAATCGAACTGGGGTCTCCTGCATTGCCGGCAGATTCTTGACCAATTTTGCTATCAGGGAAGCCCCGATAAACCCAAGGCCCTAATGGAAACACAGGGACATAGGGTGATGGGGGCTGAGCAAACCACCTTAGTGCCTTTATTGCCTTGGTGGGGCTAAGGTTCCACTTTCATGTCAGCGTGTTCCATGAAGGCATCAGAGTAACACCCATGTCTCGTTTCAGATCAAGACAAATTCCACTGCAACTTTCTTCTTTTCTTAATAGCTCCTCTGGAGTCTGTAGAAATCCTGGGTCAGCCATCCACTGCCAAAATACGTCAGTGCAGGGTCCAACTCACAGAGCTTAGACCCCAAAGGAGAAATAAATTCCTGGTAAGGCCACCCCTCCCGCCTGAACACTACCTGGTAGACAGCAGAGACCTTGGGTTCCACCCAGCTGTCAAAGGGAGGGGAAGAGACAGCACACAGCTAGGAGGAGTGGTCCACGGGGACCCTGAGCCTGCACGCAGAGACAAGAGGTGTGTGAGGATTGTCGTTCCTCCACGCAGCAGAAGGAAGCAGTCTGTGCGTGTGTGTGCGTGTGTGTGTGTGTGTGGAGGGGACAGGGAACTAGGGAAAATTGTGCAGAGAAAAAGAAAATGAGTGCTTATTTCCTTACAGGTATTCAGTCAAAAACAGCGTTGGAACAGCCAAGAACACAGCTGCTTGCTTTCTGTTTCCAGGAGCCAAAGCCAGGGCTCCAGACTGAGCAGGGTGGGGGTGGGGTGGGGCTCCGCCAGCACAGCGGGGCCAGAGGCCTGGGTGTGAGTGTGTGTCCACGAGTTCTAGCGGCCTCTCAGCTCGCCACTTCCTCCTCTGTGTTCGCAGCCAGCAGCCTGACCGCTGACCTTTGCGGGAGCAGGCCTGCCGAGATGGGGAATTTTTAGCAGCTCCCAGGCAGCTCTGGGCTGGGCAGCTGCTCTGTTCCCCCTGATGGCCTGGTTGGTTCTCTGGACGGTGGACACGTCCAGAAACCTCCAAGCTTCAGATTTGTTTTCCAGGAGGGTTCTTTTGAGAATATGGAGACCATATCGGCATGTTTATTTTATTTTATGTTTTCATTTTTCTAAAGAGCAATTTGATACATCTGTGTTTCTCTCTGGATAAAATCACATGAAATTATGTTATATTGCTTGACAGGCTGCGTTGTTACCTCATAGAGTGGAGTGTGTGTCGAGGAATGCTTTACACACAGCGCACAATCATGGAACACGCTGTAGTCTCTTAAAATATGGGCAAAAGCTGCCGTAAGCATTGAAGTCTCTGTTCTCCCGAGAGCAGGAGATATTGGGTTACTGCCTGCTAGTTTGATAGGTATCATTTAAACACTTACTTTAAATAAAAATACACATAAAACAGAGCCCGTTCTGGATCACCTTTGATCTCTAAGTGATACCAAAAGGCCTACATTTTTCTGGGAACTCACCTAGCCTCTTGCAAATTGCTTGGCTGTTCATGTATTTTTAAAAAAGATAAACATTTTGTTCCTCCCTTGAGATCAAAAGAAAATTCCATAAAGGTGTTTCAATGTCAGTTTTCTTTTTAAAAAAAGTTTTTTTTTTTTTTTTTTTTCTGGCTTGCTGAAATCTTCCATACCTGTGGAATTTCCCTCCAGCCTGTTTCAGCTGAATACCTAATCAACACTGAGACCCATGGGACGCTATTGGTGAACCCATGAGTCAGGGGTCTGCAGGTACTTCATCAAGGTGAAGTCTTTGTTGGTTTACATTAGATCGTGTACTTGACCAGAGTCACTATATGGAAGGGTTGCCTGCATCTGTATTTCTAATTTTTCTTTGCTGAGAACTCCCGTGAAAATTCATATCTTTGAAGATGGAAAGAACAGTAATTTTCAGGTTTGGATTGCATTCTGGATATGTTCCTGAGGGAGCAAGCATTTCTCTACCCATCATTGTTGGGGAGAATTAGGCTGATTGTGGCTTGTTAAAATTTTTAATATTACATGCATAGTTAAAATTATATGAATCTAAAATTTACATATACATCACTGAAGTTACATGTATAAAACTAAAAGCATTTATATATTCACATTTACATATGTGTAAGTCTGAAAGAGGTGATCTTTTGTTAATACATTATTGACTGGAGACATATTAATGCCACTGGCATTAGTTTCTGCAAAAATCCCCTGGACAGTGATGTGTTAAAATATTTTGATTGGTCATTTTGGGAGACAAGTCAAGCTCCAGCACCATCTACAGAGAGAGGGCATGAGAGCCTGGTGGAAATCTGGAGCAAGAATTAAAGGAGTAAGCACACTTCTACCATGTGGCCCAGGGATAAAGAACCTGCCTGCAATGCAGGAGATGTATCAGATGCGGGTTCAATCCCTGGGTACACACAGATATACACACGTCCACACACAGACACAAACACATGTACACACACACACACACAGATACACACAGACACACACACACATGTACATACACACATATACACAGATACATACATATACACACGGACACATACACACACAGACTTACATACACACAGACATGTGCATACACACAGGCACATAGGCACACATGCACACAGCATGGGGGAGTTGGGAGGGAGAACTAAGTGAGCAGAGTTGCTGGCCGTCCCTCTGAAGAGCTGCCCCTGCGTCTCTGCTCCTGGGCCCCTGGACCGGGCCCGCCTCGTCTACACGGGTGGGCAGCGGTATCTGAGGTGGAAGGAGGGCTCGTCCCAGGAGACGCCTTGAGGAGAGGGGCCCGGGGAGGATGCTGATGGCCTGCATCCCCTCCGCTCCCTTTGCAGCCCCCACCCCTGCTGTAACTACGTTTTAGATACAGACAGTATGTTGCAGAGAATCACAGGGGCACCCATCACATTGAGGTGACGTCTACCCTCGGATCCCTGGGGGTGCGGGGTCTTGGGTAAGAGTCAGCGCTCAGTCAGGGTCCCTGTGGGGAAGAGATGGCATGTCCGAGCCCAAGCTGAGACCATCTGAGGATCGCCTGATGGGGGACAGCCCAGAACGTGGGCAGGGGTGCAGGGTGCCACACGAGTGTGAAGCATGTGGCTCCAGAAAGTACAGAGCCCTGAGGGAGGCAGGGAGGGGGCGATGGCTCAGTCACGGGGGCCTGCATGCCTGACCTCTGCCCTTCTGACCCCCAGCCCGGGGTCCCAAAGATGCAGTGCACGGAGCTGAATTTTAACAAGGTGTAAATCAATTTGGGATGCAGCAGTTCTTCTGTCAGTGTCAGAGACACCCCCATGTCCTTCACCTTCCCCTGGCCCTTGACCTGTATCCTGCCTTCTCTTAATTGTGAGCCTTGTCCGAGGGAGCCGTCGGGCAGGTGAGTTCCCACATGGTGACCATTCACTGTCACTCAGTCTTTATTTTTGCTGGCCAATATTTAAAAATACTTAAAACCATATGTAGAATTAATCATTGATCCCCCCCCCCCCGCTCTTATGCTAGGATACGTTTTCTTTTGTGATTGATTTAAAACCAAGACTCATGACAGTTTTCTCAGGAAGTCTCACTACTTGCAGCTTGGCTGGCCAAGGATGTCACCTTGCAGTGCTGAAGGAGAAAATCCTGACAAGTTTTGTCTTGAGAAACAGTTAAATTCACCACATTCTTCGGGAGCAGCAGTCTGGACCTTGACCATGGAGACAGAGTACTCGGGAGTTCTTTGAAAAGTCACTTGTTCACATGGCCTGCATTGTCATTCTACAAATTACACAAAACTATTTAAAAAGAAAAAAGGAGAGCGATTACGACTGACCCACAGAGATGCACTGGGAACGCAGACTCAGTGTTCCGTGGCGGGTTTCCTTCTACGGTAATAGAGGGTGGGGAGGGTCTGCCTTGGGGGATGGGCTGCGGGGGGGAGGGGGACAGTCCGGCAGGAGGCAGGGCGGGGAGACGGTCACCGGTCTGAGGACCTGGAACTGGTGCCTCGGCTATGGGGAGAAGGTCTGAAGGTGGCGTCCATCCAGGAGCCCCGAGAATCCTCTCCTGGGTGTTCCCCTCGTCCCCCCAGCTGCCGTCTGGCTGTCTGGCTGTTCGTTTCCATGTGTCATAATGTTCTCTTTTAAAGTGCAAGTTCAAGTTCAAGAAGTTTTGCTTCCTTAAGAGCCAGCTTGGAACCTGTGTATGAAACCCTGAGCTCCTTTCCACGGGGGTTTTTGTTTTGTTTTGAAGTACAAAGCAGTTCTTCAAAACTGACCTCCCAAACCAAGGGTGGGTTATAAGTTCTGTCCTAGACCCCAAATGCCATCATCAGTGTCCCTGGCCTTGTTTTCCTTCCACGGAAAACATGACATGGTCTGTGACTCGATGACTGGAAGATGGGGCTCTTGGCAGAACATTCCCTTTGGCTTCCCTTTTTTATTTCTTTCCAAGCAGTGACTCTCTAGGTATCTCGCCACGCCCCCCTCCCCGAATTCTCAGAGGGCACACGGAGCTGCAAAGGGAGAAACGACTGGATGTTTTTGTGAGTGTTTCTACCAGACCTAAAGTGCTCGTCTATTCACGCGAGGGAGATGGGTGTCTTTATTCACACGGGGGAGACAGGAGTGTTTATTCACACAGGGGAGATGGGTGTGTGCACGGCTACGGCAGGGCCGTCTGGCTGGCTCGCCCCTCTTGTAATGTCTGCGTGAACTCAGAGAGGCTGCCAGGTGCCCATCTGTTGGCAATATAACCCCAGCCACAAATGCAACTGTCGTGACAACCATGCCGAGTAAGTCTTTCACATAAAACTTGTGAAAAGCTACTGTCCTTCCATCCCCACCCATTGCAGTTAACTGCTTCAAGTCACCCTCAGACTAACATTTATTTTCTTAGGTGTTCCTTGCTGGTGCAGCTGTGGTGTGCCGGCCTTTGATTTCAAGTAACTTCACAGCATGAGTGATTACAACCCCCCAAGGTCAGGACGTGCTACAGGTCCCACCTGAATCTGCTCAGGCTGCAGGGCTGGTGTCCGGGGCCCCTTGGTCTCCTCTCCGCTACACGGCATTCAAATCTGGGAGCTGATGGGTGGGATGATTTCTTCCCGATGATGACCGAGCACAAAGACACACTTTGAGGAGGGCTCCGGGCCAAGGGGTGGAGATCGTTGCCCTCAGAACAGTGCCCTCCCTGGCACCCCAGAGTCCCCACCTTGATGACCTTGGGTGGCAGAGGCAACTTCATTCCCTCAAGAGATCTGAGTGGAGTCACAGGGTGTCTTGGGCACAGGGTGTCCAGGATATTTTCTTTTATGTATTTGAAATTGTGAGAGATCAAATGGATGAGTGACCCCTTGGGATTGACTCTTTTACTGAAAATTAATTTAATGTTCTTAACTTTGGCCACTTGATGTGAAGAGCCAACGCATTGGAAAAGACCCTGATGCTGGGAGGGATTGGGGGCAGGAGGAGAAGGGGACGACAGAGGATGAGATGGCTGGATGGCATCACCGACTCGATGGACATGAGTTTGGTGATGGACAGGGAGGCCTGGCATGCTGCTGTCCATGGGGTCGCAGAGAGTCGGACACGACTGAGCAACTGAGTAACAACAACAAATCTGTTCTCTGGAGTGGGTCCAGAGAACCTGAAAATCTGCCCCAGATTTTCTAAGCAGACAAGCAGACAAACAGCTTCAGTGCAGCCTGCAGAAGTGGGCATTCTGACAACAACGACAACGATGACAAAGGCTAAGGTGGAGAGGTGAAGTGATGATATATCTGTGTGTTTTGGAATGCTTTGTACGTTTTGGGAATGAAATCCAGAAGAGCTGTTCCTGATTGCAGGAGGATGCCCAGAGGCCAAGTCTGGATCTGAACCGTGCAGTGGGTCCCAGCTTTTATGAGAACAATCGTGCCTACAGCTCGAGGGGGTGTCTGGTGCCTCTTCACACGGCATCCTGCCCTCCACACTGCCGCCGAGGAGCTCACACGGGGCGGGAGGAGGGGCACTCTGCTCACTCGGCAGTGTTTGGTGAAGGAACGCTCAGGTGAGAAGCGATGACGGTGACAACAGTGTTCAAGGATAAAGTTTTGAAGAGGATCAGATCAAGGCTTTCACACAGATATAATCCATACCAGCTCCAAAGTTTACTGAATGTTTTAATTAATGAAGAAAGCAGTCAGATAGCAAGACTACTGGTTTAGAAGAGAACTTGAGGGGACCGCACGTGGAGAGCAGAGAAGGAATGCTGAGACGAGCTTATGGATGGTGTCACCTGCCCCAACGCGTCCACAACCACAGGGCAATGACTGATGCTGTCTGAGGGACACCGTGGGCCTGTCTGTGGGTGGAACTCTTGGCACAGCTAACACTTTCTACAAGTTAACTCGTCTCCCCAGAGCTGTAAAATTTCCGCGGTGAGGAAAAACGAAGGTGCGTGTCTGATAGGGTCACATGAGCCCATGGTCCTTGATCCGCTGAGGGCTGCCGAGGTTGGCAACTTGGTGACTCTGCCCCCCGGATTCCCCGAGGCCCTTGGGAGCAGAAATGGGCGCCGTGGTGCCTCTTGTCTGCAGTTCCTCACTTTGTAGATCTCACCCGCACCTGGACAGCCTGGTTTTCTCACCTCGATCACCACGTCCGCAGGCCGAAGTTGCCATCCAGGCTGTGGCTGAGCGGCCGCTCGAGTGGTACCCGTTCGTCATCCCGTTGGACGTCTGTCCAGCCGAGGCGGCCAACAACCTTGGGCCACACTGGCCAGTACGTTTGCTCGGGTCTGTCCTGTTAGAAAAGCCACCTGTGCCAGAGGGGCCCCCGGGCCTGACCCTGCTTCCTTGGGGGACCAGGCCTGCGTCATAAGTGGAGCATGGGCACACGGAGGGCTGCAGGTCCCCAGACTGGCAGAAAGTCTGTCCTATTTGTTTTCTCCCCTGTTTTTACTGCTTCTTATTAAAATAGACAGTCCAGGAAACATTTAGTGCCGTCAGGGAGCTGTGCCCGGGAGCTGTAAACCTTCACCAGGCGGGGGGTCGTCTTTACCCACTCTGGACCATGGGAACCTCTTCCAGGGGAGGTATGGCCCTTGCACAGGGTCCCACACCTGCCAGTTAACTGCACAGGCCCTCAGGAAAGAAAAGGGACCCGGGGCATCTGGGATGGCTCATCCACAGGCCAGCTGCGCCCAGACCAGGACCCCAGGCAGGGTGTCCATCCTCCAGGCTGGGGGGCCCTCTGCTTCAGAAAGACCAGAGGAGGGAGAGTAAGCCACCCTCAGTGTGGGAGCACTGTAGTTTTCTATCTTCTTTTTTTTTGCTGGGTTTTTGTTTCTGTATTTAAATGAGCATTGACCCTCCTTGTGTAAGGAAGGTTTGGGCAGGAGCAGACACTGATGTCTCCTGGAGAAAAACAAAAGTAAGCAATGACTCAAACCCACGTCTCCTGTTTCTTCTGCATCGGCAGGCGGATTCTTCACCACTGGGCCACCCGGGAAGCCAACGATAACACTAGCAATAACCTAAAGTCTCCTCTTTATGAAACTGCTTTGCTCCTGAAAACTTCTTCGAGAGAGATTTGGTGGGGGAGGTGTGTTGGGTCCACTTTGTCTGCAAGCGGGAAGGGAAACGAGGCTTCTGTGGGTGGATGGGATGGGGGAGGTTTTTTTTTTTAATCAATTTACCTGTTTCTGTGCTGGAGTCAGAGCCCTCTGTGGGTATCACTTTCTAGCCTTTCCTGTCACTGGTGGTTTAAAGTTGGTCATTGGGGGATGTGCACACCATGGTTACTGGTGTGTATGTGTGCTAAGTTGATTCAGTTGTGTCTGACTCTATGAGACCCCATGGACTGTAGCCTAGCAGACACTCTCTCCTTGGGATTCTCCAGAAAAGAATACTGGAGTGAGTTGCCAGTCACTGGAAAACACCACAAATCTGGGTTCTTCCACCCCTGCCAGAGGGCCAGGTCATTACACACACCACTTCACACACCCCAAGTACCAAGAGCCCTGCTCGGCGCATAGCTGGCACCCAATAAGTACTTGTTGAGGGAATGAATGAGTGAATCTTGCGGACAAACGTATAGGAAATGTAAAGAAAAATTCGCTCTGTTAAAATAAAAACTATCCTAAGGCACTGAAGTTTAGAATTTGATCTTGAATTTCCTTACCTGTATGATGTAGCTTCTGGTCTGGTAGGTAACCTTGGAGCTGCTTGGCACCCTTTCCTTCTCTGAGTTGCCACACTGTCATTTGCAAAGTGGGGGTTTTTCTCTGATTACAGAGAGGACAGGAGGTTCAGACTAGCAGAGGAACAGTCACGGTGGGGGCAGGGCTCACGTTCAAACCCAGGGTTGGTTGACTTTGAAGCCGCTGCTCGGCCATGAGACAGCAAAGCCTCAATGAGATGCGAGGGAGGCCATGCCATCCAGTGCCCTCCCTGGAATTTCCAGGCCTGGGAGATGTGAGAGCAGATGGATATGTGTTTTGGACTCCAGGCAGTAAACTGAGCCCCTGGGTGATGAGTCTGCCAGCTGAACGCCTGCCCTGCTTGCTCTCCAGCCTGAAGATGTCATCTCTGGATGGAGGTGCTCGCTTGGTACCAGGATGTCAGCATAGCCAGGCCTGCCCTGCCGTTAGGTTTTTGGATGCCTGCCATGTCACTTGGTTGAGTGTTGGCAGGAGGAAAGGTGAGAGAAGCTGGTCTCTCCTCTTAGAACATATAAGTGAAAATGCAGGGATAACAAGGTATCTAAGCTCACCCATCACCCCCTGCCCCCTTGTTCCTGGGCCTGCTCCTTGGAGGGATACAGACGACTGCTTGCCCACCCAACCTCTCTCCTCCACTGGGTCCCCCCTTCCGGGGCCTCCACCTGCCCACTCCCTGGGGCAAAGTGCAGCCTGGAGGTGGAGAGCGAATGGTGGGGGACCATGTCTGGTTCTATGTGGCCCGAATTCTACATGAAAGAGACCTGAATGCATCGCCGTGTGAACAGAAATGCTCCAGTAATGAGAACGGGGCCTATTCAGCCGCCCTGAATGCATTGGAGCTAAAATTAGGCTTGGAGGCGCCCAGTCCTCACGTGTTGCCGCCGTCTGCTTTGAATAAAACTCACAGAAGTTCAGAAGGGAGCCCTGTCGTGCCACTTGCCTGAAATTGCAGTGCTCTCATCAAAAGAGGTGTCTGCCTTTTCCTGTCTTGAATTAGTGGCGATTTCTAACACCCAGCCACCGGTTTCAGGACTTCTCCTGCAGCCTTGACCATTCACCTGGGCATGGTCCAGCCAGATGGGCACTCCAGGAGCGGAGTCTCACCCAGGGGGCCACAGCGTCAGGAATAATTCTGGGGAGTTACCTGTGGGCTCCTGGCAGAGTGGTGCTGTGAACAGGGCTCTTTCAGTTTTTAAAGCCAGAATCTAGGGAATATTAGCAACATATGAGAAAGAAACAACACTGTTAGTCCATAAAATCAGTACCACATAAGTAAAACTGAGAGTGAAATAAAGTTGTGTGTGTCCTGGTCCCAGAGTGCCCAAGGCCAGCAGGATGGGAAGGATGGCTTGGGTCCTGTTTGTGTGGCATCTCGTGGGGCGAGTGCAGGGCTGTGGACGGGGTCCTAAGTGCAGTGGGGAAGTAAGGAGGCGCTCTGGGGGGGGGGTGGCTTGGGGAGAAGCTGGGGGGCTGGTAGGGGGGGTGATCACAGCTGCTTTTCCAGAATCTCTTCCTGGCTGCAAAGCAGGAAGAGGCCAGGCTAACTTCCTGTGTTGGTGATGTCAGTGGGGACCAGGACAAAGACACCGGCAGCCGCAGAAAGCCTGGGGAGGTGTCCATGAAAGAAAGTTAGTGGAATTAACAGCTTTTTAGGAAGAAAGTGTTTGGACCTGGTGATGATTTGGATGTGGGGAGCAGGGGAGGAGCTGAGGCCGGCTCCTGGGTCCCTGCCTGGGTGACTGAGGGGCTGGAGCAGTTGGACCATGGGGGGCCATTAGCAGTGGGGTGGGGAGGAGCAGGTTTCTGCTGGGAGTGGGAAGGCAGGGTCATGGGTTCAGGGTGGCACACGTGGAATCTGAAGGGCCAGTTTCTCCTGAGGCCTCTCTTCTTCGTGTGCAGACGGCCTCCTTCCTGCCATGTGTTACGCGGCATTTGTTTGCCCTGCAAACCTATCCCTGGGTCTCTTCCTGTTATAAGGTACCAGGCCTACTGGATTAGGGCCCTGCCCTTATAATCTCACTTAACCTCACTAATGACCTCTGGAGACACCAGGTCTCCAAATACAGCCTGGCCAGGGTTTAGGGCTCCCACTATGAACTGTGGGAGACACAGTTAGTCCCTAGCAGGTAGATAAAGATGATTTTGCTTTTGTTTTTAGAAAATGACTACATCTTTCAAAGGTAGGTACAAGTATGCTACTTTCAAAATTTTCTTTAAAGCTTCCAGGTAAGGGCTGGCTTAAAAAAAAATGTGTTTTACAGCTTTCATCCCTGAAGTTTGATGTGTACTTTGCACTTTATTCACAAGTTTATTTCTTTCTCATAAGATCAAACACTTCATAGAAATTTTCCATACTTTGTCTTAGTCCAAAAAGAATTTTGTGGGAAAAGAAGGCAAGTTAAATTCACCCAGTTTTTTTTTTTTCAAGTAGATTCAGGAAAATGACACGGTTTTTCCTGCTTCCCTAAGAACTGCCTTGAGCAAATTTGCTCTAAAATACATTTTAAAGGAGCTGAATTAAATTTTTTTTTTACAATAACCAGTCTTGTAGTAAAGGTTGGTTAAACAAATAAAGTGAATATTGATCTTTTTTTTAAAAATGTAAAAGTGAGATTTCTTTACTATTTTCTTCTGAGGAGATTTTTGAAATATCTACTTCATCTTGAAAGATTCTGACAAAGTGGAGTGAACTTTTCTAAAGGTTAGATTTGGTAATTCCCCCATTTCTTCCCACTTTACACTTATTGATGTTATTTTGAGATTCTTTATGAACACATATCCACTTTACTCTTCCATAGCTGTTTCTGTTCAGAGACAAAACCAAAGACAGCTTACTATGGTATTTATGTCATTTGAGATTAGGGTTAACTATGAGTTACAAATACCTGAAAAGGTCAGTAAGACACGATATACACATTTTCTTTTTTCCTCCTGTAAATCAGTCCAGAGAAAGGGAGTCCTGGACTGTGACGTGCTGCCATAGCCTTCAGGAACCCAGACTTTTTCTAAACCTCTGCCTTGATTAAAAATCTCCTCATTGCCTACGATGACTGCAAGAGTGCCAGCCATCTCATCTGTGTTCTGATCAGAAGTGGGAATGACATAATGAAGAATATCTTTTCCCCTTAAAGAGCATCTCTGGACCATATGACAGCTTTGAGTTTTCTCAGGCTTGTCTGGGATTCTCAGCTCCCTTCCGAACACTGGAATGCAGGGCTGGACACATCACATTCCTTCCTCTACTCTCCTCAGGGTCCTGCTGGCTTCAGGGTCGAGCTGGGAGTCCTCATGGTTTGAGCTCACTGTCCCGTGGTGTTCTTCTCACATCCTGGGGTTTCCTTTACCTGATTGTCCTCTCCTACCCACATCTCGGGTCTTTCCCAGTTGCTCAGACAGTAAAGAGTCTGCCTGTAATGCAGGAGACCTGGGTTCGATCCCTGGGTTGGGAAGATCCCCTGGAGAAGGGAATGGCAACCCACTCCAGTATTCTTGCCTGGGATAATCCCACGGACAGGAGTGCCTGGTGGGCAATAGTCCATGGGGTCACAAAGGGTCAGACATGACTGAGCGAATAACCCTTTCACTTTTCACCCCACATCTCTGTCCTGCATGCTTCCTCCACCCACACGCACACCCCTGGTTCCCTGACCAACTCCTGCTCATCCCTCAGAGCTCGATTCTGACCTCTGCTCCACCAAGGACCTTGAACCCCCTGAGATACGGGCTAGGCACCTGGTTCAGGGCAGCTTTTGTTTCTTGTCCCCTCGACAGTTAAGTCTGGGGAGTGTGCACTCATTCGTGTCTTTTTATTCTGCTGGTTGGACACCTGGGCCTTGCTGACCCTGCGGGGACTCCCCTCTCAGGCTGGTGAGTCCCTGGAACTGGCAGAGGAGGGGTCTTTCATAGGCTACACCCCATGGCTCACACTCTGACTGCTAGTCCCCCACCCTGATCACCCCATCTGCCTGGGACCAGACCACTCAGGACAGTCCCTGAGCCCCAGAACCCACAGAGATTATTCAGAACAACCTGTCCTGAGCTGCTCACCCTGCCTCCGTGTCCCCCCTCCACACAGTAAAGGCTCTTGGCCACGTTCTTCCACACCCTCAGCATCCCACAACCCTGGTATTCCCCCATAGGGCCCTGTGTGCCATGTCCCCTCCTCCCAAGGACGGTGAGGAACAGCTGTGTTTCCAGTAGCCATTGTCTCTGGATCTGTTGGGCTCCCCATCCCTGGATGATAATAAAATCAGGAGAGGCCCTTGTGCTGTTCACCCCCGTCACCTGGTGCCAGGCAGAACCTGACAAGTAGCGGGTGCTCAGGATAAGCTTGTTAGTGGCTGGGTGGAATTGGCGGAGAGAGTGACTAGCCTGGTTTGGGTGAGTCTAGGACAGTTCTCCAGGAGGAGCAGGAGGACCCCAGGGCCACAAGTGGCGGGGCGTCCCGCTGGGTCAGGGGCAGCTCTCTTGGCCAGTGGTGATGTTGGCCCTGCTCACCTCTCCTTCCTCATGTCCCCACTACCGTAGCTCCCTCTCAACCCAGGTGAGGTTGCCTGAATCCACGAGACCCTTTTCCATCCCAAGAACAGTCTGTGACTTTATGTTCACTCATGAAGTCTGATAACCATCTGACTCCCTTCACTGGCCACTGACCGAGTGAGAGGAAGGCTCTGCTCACAATGGCATCTCTATCCCCTCAAAAATGTTTCTTATAGTAAAGACTCAATAAGTATCTCTTGGGAGAAGAATGCATGGATAAAGTTAGGGAATAACGGGCTTGTGGAGTGGCGGAAACACCCTGGACCTGGGTGGGGAATTCAGGGTTTCTAGTCCTGCAACTGCTGCTCCAGAACCAAGGATTTTATAGATGTAAGATCAGAGAGCCCAAGAAGGAGACAAACCAGAGGAAGGTAAGCACCTCAGGGCCAGGGAGGGCCTCCAGGGCGCGTCTCCACAGCTGTGGAGCTGTCCTGTGATCCACAGGTCAGTTTACCAGGGGGCTGTGGGTGGACCCCTACTGACATCCATCTCCCTCCTCTTTTCCAGCCTTGACTCCCCTGCCAAGACTGAGCCAAGGGCACCTGAGCTTTCTCAGACCAATGAAGGGCGATCTGCTTTCAGCATTCAGCATCTGCCCCCTTTTCCGTGCATAGCAGTTTCTCACGAGTCCTCTTGTATTTGTTTTCCTCTCTAGCCAGAGAAGATTCACAAAAGAAAACCATACGGCTTCCCAAGAAAAGTGCAGCACAGTCAAGAAAAACACGTACAAGCAAAGTGGAGATGCATTTTTCATGACGCTCATTTGCAAGGCTGAAGCGTCAGATTCTTTTAATAGAATCCATCAGGGGCCCGTGTATCGCTTTAGAAAGCTCTGAGGTTGTAGGGTTTCAGTGTGGATAGAGAAAAGGAAAAAAGAGAAGCCTGATTTTTCTATTTGTAATTTTAAAAGAGTAATGACAAAGAAAACAAATGGTAGAGTCTTGAAATCCTAATTACTTAGTTATACACGCTCGCACACACCCACACATACACGTGCGCGCGCGTGCATGTCTGTCTACCTCCCTTAGATGAAGAAAGGCCTCCTGTCACTGCTCCTCTCTGCAAACAGTCATGTTGTTATCTACTCACTGGGGCAGATTTAATACCCAGGAGACTGAGGGCCACTGGGTGTGATGACCCATCTGCCAGCTCAAGTTACAGGACAAGCAGCAGTGAGGAAATACCGGTGCAGACCTCACCTCGGTGATTTCCGTAAATGACTCCATGGCAAATTGCGAGGTTGTGTGGCCTCCTACAATTACTGGTGTTCTAATTTCCTGGGGCTAACTTCAGGGATGGGAGATTTTAATTATGGGGAGGGGTTGTTTCCATTGTTTGGACAAATGTCAGAAGCCCAGTTGAAAGGAGGGCCCTGGGCGAGCCCCAGGAACATTCCCTGGGTGGGGTGGGCGGTGCTGGGGGTGGGCCGTCCCAGCCGGAAAGAGAAGCTCCAGGGCCGAGCCTGTGACTGCCCTGGACTTTGTCTCTCATCTGACTTTCTTGGTGCCACAAGGATGCTGTGAGTCTGTGTGTTGGTGGAGACTCAGATGAGGCTCTGTGCCGGGATCTTTCTCAGGGAGTCTCCAGGGGGCTGCGAGGCCGGGGTACCTGAGTCCAGCCTCACCATGCTGATCTTTGAGTCCTGTCCATCTCCCTGTGGAGGGGCCTGGGTGGGGGCAGCGCTGGCAGAGGTGTTGGGGATCCCTCCTCTCTCTCAACACACCATGGCTCTGGGCCAGGTGGGAGGAGGTGTTGCAGGACACAGCAGGGCAGGGTCTTCTCCAGACACACCTGGGCCGCCTTCCCGGGCCTCCCACACGGCCTTCTCGAAGGCAGCCCTCCTCTCCTGTTGATGTAACCTCCCATCCCTCACCCCCAGACCCGACCCAAGTCTAAGGGTTTGGATTCCTGGGAAGACAGCTGCCTGGTTACTGACGGTCACCTGCTAAAGGCGGAGGGCACGCCACGTGCTGGGGGAGAGGCTGGGGTCTGGGCCTCTCCTGGCGAGGCCCGCACAGCCGTGCACACACAGCCTCCGTCAGAAGAGCTCTGGTCCCGCTTGGGCTGAGGGCCTCCCCACTGCCTTCTCCAGGAACCCCTGTGTTGCAGGAACACACTTGCATGTTGACACAGGCAAGTTCAGAAGAGCCTTGTGAGGCTCAGAAGTCACCAGGAATGGTTTGTGGTAAGCGAGTTGTGAGGAAAGTCACCTACAAGTTTTAGTCTGTTTTTTGTTTTTTAAAAAATCTTTTGACTGCTCTGTAACATGTGGGATTTTAGCTCCTGGACCAGGGATCAAACCCACACCCCCTGCTTTGGAAGGCCAAGTCTTAACCACTCAATGGCCGGGGAAGCCCCCATAGTCGGAACTGATCCAGCTTCCTTTTCTGCTTTCTCTACTTTTTCGGTGAGGAGAGTGTGTTTTAGGCCATTTGAGGTCATCGCTGGGGGCGTCGACTCTGCTTGAGGACAGGTGAAAGTCTTTCCTGCCCTATCCCACATGACTTGAGTGGGCATTCTCATAGCAACCAGTTCCGAGGGCAGCTCACCCTGCCTGTGGGCCCCTACTGCTCAGGGGAGATCCCCGCCTTCCCAGGCCCGGACTCCCCTTGGGGCAGCTCCCTTGTCAGAGAGAAGATGACGGAAGAAGCAGGATGTGTGGGGCGGAAGAGAAGCACTGGGGGTGGGACCAGCTCCTGGTGATCTCCGGGAGCCAGACGTAGTTCCCGCCGACTGACAGCTTCTCCACCAGCTGCCCCTTCCTTGTCATCTTCCCTGGCAAACAGCCCCTGTCCTTCAGTCACTCACCAGACGGCGTTGCTTCGAGCCCCTCTCTGTTAGAACTACTCCTCCCCGACTGACTGCAGTTGGTCAGACTTTCTGCTGGTTTTCCCTGAGCCCAGACGGTGCTGTGAGGTGGTGCAGACGGACACCTGCCCTCCCTCCGTCTGGACCCCAGGCACACAGGTTTCCTCCTAAGAGGCCTGAGCCTCTTGGGTGGTTATGGGCACTGTTAACTCATTGGAGTCTGTGGTCACCTCAAGCCGCTGCTCGGACATCTCCATCCAAGGAGGGCTGGAGACTGAGATGTGAACATGTGCCGTCTGTGTGGACTTGCAGGCATGCAGTGCAGTCAGGTAAAACCACGAGCATGAGGCCTGGACCCCAGGGGACCCCCCAGCGGTCAAGTTGAGGGCCGAGGGGAGCGGGTCTGCAGCTGGGGGTCATGAGGCCCTTTTCGGGTGTCTGCATGGTTGCACGCTCTGGGGAGGACAGGTTGTGCACAACTGGGGGCTGGACCCCAGGGCTTGGCACAGTCACAGCAGGACGAGCATGTGGGGGACAGAGACCGCTGGGCAGAGGCCTGTCCTGCAGGGCTGGGTGGGTGTCTGCCAGGCTGGATGCCCCAGGTACCAAGGACGTAGCGAGTGCCCAGAGGCAGGTGATGGTGGCAGGGGGCAGCTGTCTTGGGGGGGACTCCCTGTGGGCAGGGCCAGCAAAGACTGGGGTCTGGCATGGCCCCTGGGTGGGCGGGTGAGCGCTGGTCCTCAAGGGCCTGGGACATGGTGCTGGAGGAGGAGGTGACCCACCCCGATGAGAGAGGCCTGTGTCTGCCAGGAGGACGCCAGAGGGTGACAGGACCCCAGACCAAAGACTGGGCCCTGAAAACCACAGAGGAGAGATGGGGTGCTGGCTCCCCATATGCCAGGCCCAGGGCCGACACAGAAATGTTCTGAACTAACCAATCAGGCATTGGTATTAATGGAAGATTTGTGTGCAAAGTTACAGTAAAATAGCCATGAAATGCTGACTTCCCAAGTCCAAAGTGTCCAAGACTGCCAAGGGTATCCAAGACCGCCCACAGCCATGCCTGGCCGCCTCACGGCCTGGCATGGCCCAGCCCCTGGGCTCCTGCAAGAAACAGTCTTTCCAAGACTTGGGGCTCAGAAACTTGTGAGGCCAGGTCAGACCTCCGAGGGACACCCTACACGGGAGGGTCAGAGGGACTTTTCTTGACTTAAGTCCTACTAACTTGAGAATCAGGGCGGTTTTACAAGTTTAATTTGAGACCTCTTATATCACTCAATTTAGCTTTCATAAGCATATCAGTTAGGAAGAATTCTCAGTTGAGACTGTTCTAGTTCACTTTGATATTCCAATCCGTGAAATTAGACAACAGGGCTTCCCTGGTGGCTCAGAAGGTGAAGAATCTGCTAGCAATGCAAGAGACCTGGGTTCTATCCCTGAGTCAGGAAGAGCCCCTGGAGAAGGGAATGGCAACCCTCTCCAGTATTCTTGCCTGGGAAATCCCATGGACAGAGGAGCCTGGTGGGCTATACAGTCCATGGGGTTGCAAAGAGTCGGACAAAGACTGAGCAACTAACACACACATGTACAAGCTGGTGACTCACTCTGTTTCTTGATTTGCCTGTTAATTCGTCCTCGACTTAGTACCTATTTTACCTATTATTTTTGCACTTATTGGACTGCAGCCATCTTAATGAGATTGGAACGACAAGTCTGAAGTACTCAGACCCGGCGTCATATTGAGTCCACATGGCCGCTGGACTAGGTACCCCACCCAGGGGAACGCCAGCTTGTCAGGGCCGTGACAGGCTCCTAATTGCTTGTGACACGGGGCTGCCTTTTGATGTTGACCATGTTCTCCTAATTATTTAATCTTTGACAACATGAAAACATGTTTAACCACATACCAGGAATAAAGATCCAACAAGACTTTTCTCCTGAGGCCGGGTTTAGACGGTGTGTTCTGAATGCTGAGAACAGCTAAGGTGAAAAAAACGCTGACTTCCTGTGCTCTGTGTGGAGAGGGGCTGGGGTGGGATAGGAGGGGAGGAGTGGGGAGGAGACGGGAAGGATAGGGAGGGAATGGGGAGGGGAGGGGAGGGAGGAAGCATTCTGGCCCCTCCCTGTCCCCCACTTCCTGTGAGCTCTGACCCCCTCCCACCCAAGTCCTCTGCAGCCTGACAAGGCTGTCTTACTGTTAAAAAACAAGATGTGGATTCTGGTGTTTTAAAGGTGCTCATCTTTTCTACTTAGGAATGTCTGCATTTAAATATATTCAGTTCTCATATCTGTTTCTTATACTTGACTCTAAGCTGCTTGTTGGCAGGACCCTTACAATGTCATCTATTTACCACCCATGCTTCGAAAGTAGTTCTGGGGTGAATGACTAAATGAATGAATGAGAAAATGAGCAGTCTCGTGACTGAGTGAATAGTAAATTGTTCGCCTTGGAGGTCTGAGCTAACGGCATGCTTGGAAATACCGAGGCCTCCCTGCGGGAGATTCAGAAGACGACCTGCCAGTTTTCCTAACTGTGGCAAAGATCCGTTCACACGAAGATTCGCAACCTGAATCTGAGCGGTCTTGCTCTGCAGCTGACCCAGACGCTCAGGAGTGCTTCGCGGTGAATGCACTGTTTCCGCCAGGACGCCCGCTTGCCTTCGCGACTCATCGCGCTGATTTGCCTGAACAGTGTCCATCTCAGCCCCTGAGCGACTGCAGTTTCCGGACGGGAATGTTTCCAGGGGTGGCAAGTGGCGCCTGTGCTGCATTGGTTACTTGTGTCCTCGGCCCTGAGCGCCTCCGCTGAGGTCTGCCTGCGCCAGGGCAGCCCCGTCCTGCGTCTCGTGATGGAGGCAGTGCTGGAATCTGCGCCCTTGGATGGGCAACTGCACACGTGTGGGGTTGCCAAACTTTCTCTGTCAAGGGCCAGGTAATAAATATTTCAGGCTTTGTGGGCTTTGCGGGTCTTTATCACAACAGCTCACTCCACTCTCGGAACACAAAAGCAGATGCAGGCAATACATAAACATGTGGGCATGCCGTGTTCCAATAAACCTAAAATTTGAATTTCTTGTGATCTTCCATGTCACACGATATTAGCCTTCTTTTGATTGCTTTCCAACCCTTTAAAAGTGTAAAGACTGTTCTTAGCTTATGGGCTGTGGTTTGCTGACCCCGGTAATGCATGGAAAATGTGTCCTTTTTGTACTATGGGAAGCAGCGCGAAGCCTGCAGGAGACCAGGACAAAGACAGCAGGGCACGGTGGAGGACACCATCGTGGGGAGAGGACGGTGTCCTAGTTCACGGTGGGCTTGCTTTCATTTCGCTTCAGATGAGCTCCCGGTGGCTTTCAAGGCCGCCCCTGGCTTCCATGCTCTGTATCTGTTTCTGTTGACCACATCTGAATCCCAAGTATCTTTTCCAGGCTGGAGCCATGGCCATGAGGTCCAGCGAGGTCTCTGCAGAGGTGTGTCTGCCAGCGCCCTTGTCTTCTATGTAAGAAAACAAAGGGACGTCCTGCCTGTTGGTTTGGCTGCATAAGGAGATGGCTCTGGACTGGGGGGTCAGTGTCCCATGGCATCCACACCACTAAGAGGGGACACTAGAGCCCTGGGGCTTGGGATGGCCAGGGCTGGCAGGATTCTCACTGCTCCCTGCACTTCCGTGGTCTCCGTGTTCACCTGCACACAGTGGATCTTCTCTGGGTTTCTGATGCCCTGTTCTTGGTAATAAGAGCCTTTGCCTTATGGGGAAATTGAGGTTACTTTTTTTCCCCCATAACAGCACTTTATCAGCTTCTCTGGTGGCTCAGACAGTAAAGAATCTGCCTGCATTGCAGGAGACCTGGGTCTGATCCCTGAATTGGGAAGATGCTCTGGAGAAGGAAATGACCACCCACTCCAGTATTCTTGCCTGGGAAATCCCATGGACAGAGGAGCCTGGCGGGATACATTCCATGGGGTCACAGAGTCAGAGACGACTGAGTCAGACACACAGTAGTGCTTTCTAGCTATAAATGAGTGGATCAAGCAATTCACACAGTCTGAGAACTTTTCCATTAGTCTAGCTCAAGTCTAAATGTTCTAATTGCTTATATTTTCTGAAAGACTGGTTCTTGGGATTTTAGCCCCTAATTAAAAAAAACACATATATATATATTTAAGAACAGTTTTAGGTACACAGAGAAATTGAAGAGAGAGGTCCAGGATTCCCATAGGGGATCCTACCAGCTTGGCCTGCCTCCCTATTATGGACAT